AAATTGCGCGGACCACGCTGCAGCACTGCTACCTCTCAGCACAACAAAGCAACTGCATTTATGCAAGAAAACTGAAGGGAGTGGGGAGTGTGGCATATATATAATATATATGACACACTCCCCACTCCCTACACTCCCAAGCGTCCCGACGCCGCATTAGTAGGTCAGCAGATGAGAAGAACAAGCAGCGGAAAGAACCAAATCTGCGCAGATGCCTTCCCGCTCATCATCAGGCTTATTCTTGCCAGACACTCGGAAGTCCAACTTACCAGACCATATGATGATAACTATTCCGTTGCGAAACCAGGAGCGCCCTTTAAGGGTCTGTATGCGTGCGGTACTCTCTGCACACAGCTGCATGTACCGGCCTCTGTACAAGCCAACAAACAGCAGCAGATCAGTCGTCACTTCCAAATAACTCGGCACGCCCTTTGTTATGCTTTTCTTTGCCGCCTCCTACCAAAGAAGACAATCCCTTAAAGAGCACATTTGCTGCCCGCACGTTCCTCGCAGTCACTTTCGAGCGTTCAAAGTTCGGAACGTTCTCTGGGGTTGTGTCAATTTCCATTGTGAGCAATCCTGAGCTGTCGTTGAGTCCCAGCACGCCTTCATCTGCCGTCCCATACAACGCGGGTCTCGATCGACCGAACAAATTCAATGCAAACACATGCACCGCCACACTGTCAAGTGCAGCAGACTTCACAGCGCTCCCCACGCCACTATTCGCCTGCCGGTGCACTCTCTCACAGAAAGTCTCCCCAAATATTCTCCACTCCATGTCCAGCAACCTGCACGACGCACACGCGCACTCATACGCAGATTTGGCTACCCTTACTACGCCCTTACTCTAAATCAATGAAGACAACGATGGTAAAAATTCCAATATTAATTTTAGGACATCTAGAAAAGGTAGGGCGGCTTAACATGCGTTACGTCACATCTACTCGTGAACATGATGCAGGTAGTTGTAATACAATTCGCAAATTACACCTCACCAGCGGAAGTAGCACCTGCCCCGGTACATCCAGCAGTCATTGACCGTTCCACGAAGAGTTGCAAACGCACTGCTTCTAACGACCATAGACCGGATCAAACCACCAGCCGTCCCATACTCTTCCTCTGCTTCCTCGTTCGCAGCAGCCAGCCCCGAGATCGCGCCAGAGACGAATTGCCAGTTGCTGGCAGAGACATCAAGGGGTCTGTTGAAGCCCACGCGGGGTTGGAGGAGGAGGTGAATCTCTGTTGGCGATCTGGGATCTGCCCCCTGTGAGAAGACTGTACCACAAAGATGGTTAAACATTCCGTACCCAGTCTCCTCGTCGGGGCAGCTATAACCGAATAGCACCTTTGCCCAAGGTAGAGGGTGCCCGAAGCGGTCCTTGTTCCACAGCGACAAGTGGGTGACTCTAACATCAACCAAGAACTCCGGAAAAGTGTTCCTCCACAGTTTAAACCGTCGGTACAGGTTCCAACTGGAGACATTCTTGCGCCGCCTCCGGTGTTCGCTCTCCCACGCAGGCCGTACTGCATCGTGCGCCCTCTCTAACATCGAGAGCCACGTACACAACTGAGGGCCGCTATAAAAAGGATCGAGTATTTCACCTCCCTCGGGGGTAGACCCTGGCCTGGGGGTTACTACCAGGTTGCCAGGCTTCCCCAACCTGCATCCTTCTGGGCCCAGAGACCACATACCAGAAGACAAGAAATCCCTCCTATTGACTGTCATGTCATCAGGCGAGTAAACACCGACATCTGCCCTAACAAAACCAGCAAAACCGGACAGCAGGATGAGAACGGCGCAGAAGGGGAGAGAACTAGCAGAAACCATCGTGGAAGAATACAGCCTAGGTGAAGTTGAGCGAGATCTAAAAAGGTATAATTGAAATTAAAAAGTAAAATGGAACAAAATTCAAATTAATAAACAGTTTCCTTTGGAAAAAAAACTCAACTACAACTCTGCAGACGGACGAAACGCCCAGGCGGGCGCGAGCCTGAGGCGATCGGCGAGAAAGCAGCGAAGCGACGGGCGAAGCCCCCCAAGATTTCTGGTTGCTTTTGCATTAAACAGACGGTTAAATTTAAATATAAACATTATTTTTATTCCTCCATTCCCCACACTTAATTGTCATTGATGATGATAGTGCAGAAACAACACCGGGCGTGCAACGCGAGACAACCTAGCCAACCGATCCTTGTAAGCAAGTTCCCTCCTGTAGCCATCATAAAGAATTTAATAAAATCTCTAATAATACTTGAACATCTCATTATTAAACAAGTGCAGAGTGTAGGAAGTTCCTACGCCTTCTACACTTTACACACGTTCAGTTAGGGGATGGCTTACTGCTTTTTCTGCTGTTTCCTGCATTCTGCTCTGTTAGGCCAACTCCATTAATTAAGCATTTATTAATTCAAATGAAAGATTTTGATATCGTTCTCAGTTGTTTATTCACTTTCATAATCTCTCGGTTTTCTTCTGACGCTTTCTGTTGCGTTTTATTTAAAAAAGAAATCCTCCTGTACGCCTGCAGTTTAACTACACCGAAGTTGTTGCCTTTGGGCCAGATATATGCGCATATGCTGTTAATATTAGATACATATATACATTTATACAATGTGTACAATTATGCATTGTCTATCAAAGGGCCTACGAATCTGGATGAAGCATGCAGAATTGCGAGAAAATAATCGAGCACACAGCGTAAAGAATGACAGTCTGACTAACAAAGATTATTATTTACTTACGGTAGTCTGATGAACGAAGATTATTGTTTACTTACGATGAATCCTTATCCCGATGCAACTATGAGTAAAGGCAAGTAGGATAGCCAATAAGAAATACAGATAAAGTAAACATATTGAAATTATATGGCTCATATAAACCCTTTCTGTTTTTTCTGATAGCCTGTCTGAATATGCAATCGCCCCTTCTAGCACTTCCTATTATAGGGGTTTGTAGATACAGGAGCGACATGCCTACGGGGTTGAGGCTGCATGCAAAGTGCAAGCAGCGGTAGTAAAGCAGAATATATTCGACATATAAATAGGAGAATATTTTAAGCTGCTGAATGCAGAGAAGAAGCCCTCAGTGATAACAGAGCTTGGCTGCTGAGCTGCGTAGCTCTCTCTATATGTATGGAAGCAGCGCATATGAAGGCATCAAATAATACGGTATAATGCATCTTTATAACCGTCTAATCTTATCTTGAAATGTCCTCTTTGCCAACAAATACGAAGAAGAATTTACCTTATCCCTTTCTTTTCAGTCTTTGTAATTGTCTTAGCAAGAGGGGCTCAGGCCAATGGACCACTATGGAGCGCCTCAGCCTTACAGCGCAGCTGCAGCTGCATTGTTCTATCAATTATCCTGTGTGTAATACCCTATTAAACCGAATAGCATTACATATCTTCTTGCATGCAAATACTCCTTAAAAAACATCTTTTT